AGGGGGTGGGAGCTTTTTGACTCGAGGGCCACAATGGGTTCTTAAACTGGACCGGAGGGCCGGAACAAAAGCATGGATGGAGTGTTTGTGTGAACTCATATAAATTCAAAATAAACATCATTCCATAAAAGGGTACGGTCTTTTTTTTCAATAGTTTTATTCATTTCAAACAGGCGGATCCGGCCCGTGGGCCGTAGTTTGCCCACGGCTGCTCTGGACCATCCAAGTGAAAATGTGCCGCAGTGGTTAGAACTGGACTGAGAGCTCAGAAAGGGTGAGCTCTGGGTGGAGGTGACAATTCAAAAGTCATTTGCATGAATGCTTACTTGAGGGGATGAGACAATGTAGGGATAGTGCATACACAGCAAGGAGAAGAGGCCTTGAGTAATACCACCATTTAAGTGCTAAGAGGAGGAAGAGCAGACGGGACCTGGGAATGGGAGGAGGCTTGGGAGTGGCAGCTGAGCTGGGAGGAGTTGCCGTAGAGCGGAGGGGTGTCAGAGGCTGTTTCCAGGGCAGATGGGATCACTGCTCCTAGGCCTTCCTGGGCTTCATTGGAATGAGCCCAATCTAAAGGTGGGGTCAAACCCAGCCAGCCACAGCCGGCAGCAGAGCCACACCAGAGATCTGCAGACACCTTGCAAGAAAAAGTAGTGTCCTTTCTTATAAGTCGCTAAGTTTGGGGGATTGTTTCTTATGGAGCATTACTGTGACGATAGCTGACTGACACAGGTTCTTTGTTAAATGTTATAAGGGAGTCAAAGAGGCTTCTGAGGTAGATAGCAGATTGAACTTCTCTCCCCCAACACCAAATAATGTGAATAAATAGCAATAAAAACTAGCAGAAATGCACTAACAGCACAGAAATAGGGTAGAGCAAGGTAGACATCATACAAAACCTCTCAACCACCTGCAGTCAAGGAAAGATACAGGATTCTGGAGCACACCAGAGAGGCGCACAGTGACAACTTCAAACTCTGCCAATGTCCCCGAATCCTTATTTCATAACAACTTCACAAAATTCCAACAACTGGTGCTGGGGACAATGCTCCAACCAACTGAGCCACCTGGCCAGGGCGTTTTCCCTTTTGCTTATATTGGAATTCAATTTTTATTGAAATTTGAAAATTACCTACCAGTTGGTATTTGGACATCACTGGAAAAGAAATTAGCATAAAATGAAAGTTGAAACGAAGTGTTCAACTCAGCTGTACAGGTCAATGAGGATTTGCTGTGCATTTATAAATGAGAAGAGTGCCAAAGATTTCTTTCAATTAGCGAAATATGAAAAGGAAACATTTCTTCTGTCTTATATCACATGTAGGGGAAAAGAAAAAGCTCACAGATAGAACTATATAGGGGAAAATATCATTAATAATAACATAAGTCCTTTCTTCTAAAGAGAGGAGGTTGGATGTAATAGCTTCCAAGGTTTTGTTCATACCTTAAAGCAGGGGTTCTCAAACTACGGCCCGCGGGCCACATGCAAATACAAATATTGTATTTGTTCCCGTTTTGTTTTTTTACTTCAAAATAAGATATGTGCAGTGTGCACAGGAATTTGTTCATAGTTTTTTTTTAAACTATAGTCCGGCCCTCCAACGGTCTGAGGGACAGTGAACTGGCCCCCTGTTTAAAAAGTTTGAGGATCCCTGCCTTAAAGGTTTTTTACTCTATTCGGGGTTGCCCAGGCTTAAAACGTATCCTATATAATAAAAGCCTGATATGCAAATCTACCAAACAGTGGAATGACGGGTCGCTGTGATGCACACTGACCACAAAGGGGCAGACACTCATGCAGGAACTGCTCCCCTGGTGATCAGTGCTCACCCACAGGGGGAATGCCGCTCAGCCAGAAGCCGGGCTCATGGCTGGTGAGCACAGCGGCAGTGGCAGGAGCCTCTCCCGCCTCCGCTGCAGGTGGGCGGTAAGGAGTGAAGGGTCCCAGACTGCAAGAGCCCAGACTGCAAGAGGGATATCTGACTGCCGGCTTAGGCCCGATCCCCTAAGCAGGCAGGTGGCCATCCCCTGAGGGGTCCCAGACTGCGAGAGGGTGCAGGTCAGGCTGAGGGACCTCCCCCCTCACCCAGTGCACAAATCTCTTGCACCGAGCTTCTAGTCTATATATAAGAAAGAAACTTACATTAACACTAACATTACCCTAACTTACTCAGATCATCTACAATGGGCTATAGAAAGCAAGATGGGTGTTAGGCAGAAAAGGGCAGTGATAAAACCCAAATGTTTCTTTGCTTTGTATGATCACACTACATGCTTTAAGCATTGCTCTAACAAAGTAAAGTCACCAAAAAATAATCCTTTGCTGAGAATTCTTAAAATATTTTTTTTGTTCTCTTCTAAATCTTATTTATAAAGGTTTCCAGATGCTTATCCTCGCAGATTAAATACGCATGAGGTGGACAAACACAGGAATACTCACTGCTCTGGAGCCAAGGAAATGCCCATCACCCCAGGAACCAGAGTGCAGGGGGTGTCTGTTGCTATGAAAGGTGTGCCTTTCTGAAACTGTTTGGAAACCACCTAGGTACTCAGCATACACATCCGAGCACAGCAAATAGTTGGAATTCCAAACCTCAAACAGGTTATTTCTCATCACACAGATGCATAATGAGAGGATGTGGGCAGAGAACAGGATGCCAATTGGAAGCTGACTTCGGAGTTTATTAGCCAGCAGTCCTGGGCTGAAAGAGTCATCCTAATATCAAGAGAACGTTCCAAAGTGGTTTTCAAGAAAGAGCACCGGGTGGTTTTTGAATATGTGTTCCATGTGAATGGAGCGAGTTTGCCAAAAATGACTTTGTATGCTGGCATGTGACCTCTCAGAGGGAAGCGGCCTGAGTCACCGGACACATCAAAGGTGGAGGCCAGTGAGTGGGGTGACTGCAGACTGTGTGGACAAGCCAGATACCTGCAAGCATCTGCCCCCTTTTAATTACATGGCAGCAGCTGGGACCACTGGTTACTGAAGTCTTCCGATTACCTTGATTGCTCGGTCATTATCTCTAATCAGCTGCTTCTTCTCATCTTCAAACTTCTGGGTAACATCCTGCAGCCGCCTTTCCGCAGCGAGCTGCTGCCGGCTGCTCTCTTCTTTCAGGGCGGAAATGGCTGTCTGGAGCTCGGAGATGGTCTAAAATGAAAACAGCATGCGATCACTCACATTCTTCAGCGAGAGGCGTCTACTTCATATGCATTTATGCTCAACAAAAGAATGGGATTGGCAAGACTCTACTCCACAAACTCAGTATTTCCAATTAACATATCACACACTATAACGCATGAAATTCCACCCAATAAAAGACTGTAATAAAAATGGTGAATGGTGAATAACAGCTGAACCAAATATATTTGGAGGACATTTCCACGATAACATTCCACAATATTTACTCATCAACAGAAAGAATATCTGTGATCTCAAATATATGAAATGCGTCAGATCTTATGTTACTGAGAAATATACTTATTGGAAAGAAAAAAGCTATTGTGCCTTGCCTAATACTTTGAACTGTAATAACCAAAGAAAATAAGGAAGAGTTCATTCTCCATAGTTACCTAATTCTACACAGCAGTTTTTGAGTATTCACCAACGGCCGAGTAATGTGCTAAGCACTGTAAGTTCCTATGGAGGCATTATTGCCCATCATCTATTAATGGAGAAACAGAGGCACAGAAAGAGGCCACAGATTTTACAACCAAGGAGACAGGCAGGACTTGAACCATGCACAGTCCGAGCAACTGCTGCACTAATTGGTTCCTCAAAGCAGGCTACTTCGAACAGGTTTTGGGATTGAAGAGAAGTTTATGATGACACAGTTCCAAAAAGGTTGCTTTCTTCCTAAGTGCTAATATATTCATGAAAGTTGATTTTGGTCCAAATAGTGTCATTTCAGAGACTCCTGGAGTATTCTCTACACTTGAGAACTGGTTCTCTCTATGACTGGGTGCCCTCCCAGTTCTCAACGCAATCATCTGGCGAGGGAGCTTTGAATTTAATGGGCTGACTCTTCCTTTGGTTTAGATGTATCCACTTCCTTTCAAATTCAATAGTGATGACTTCCAAAAGCAGGAAATGGTGGTTTCTTCTAATAAAAGAAAGAAACGTAGTCCTGGTTTAGAACAGAATTCTGTTCGTTCTAAGGGAGAAAGGCTGGTTGATGAAAAACACCAGAGAAGTTAGGGATCTTCCTTGAAACTCAGTTTTTCCAGCTATTATTAGATGACAACACCAGTTCACAACATTATAAGGCAATAAATAGAAAGTGTCTGGAGTCTCCCAAAAGCCAACTCCTATGGAAATATTAGTTGTTACTACTGACAGAAATAACAGCACATTTACAATAAAATGTGGGGTACTTATGCTTTTAGAAGGGAGCTAAATTCACTGTAACAAAGCTTAGCATTTAGAATTTGTAAAGAATCAAATACTAAGACAATTGTGAAAGAGATGATAATAGCAGTACAGTCGTATTTTTAAATGCAAACTCGACCCTTCTGCTGTGAGTTGGGGAATTCATTTACTGAGAAGGAAGATGTTTTCATCTGTTTCTTGAATTTTGGTGAAATGTTTCCATTCTGGCATCAGTTCCATTAATTTTCATAGCACTTCTATGAAACAGGGAAGGTTAAATTTTTACAGTAAATGTCAAAAACTGAGGCACAGAGTAATGAACTCACTCACAGTCATAGAGCCAGAGGAGCTGGAGATAACAAAGAGCCAGATTTCCTTGGCCCAACATGAAACTTGGGATTGGTATTTTATAAGAACATGGGGCCAAATAGCAAAAATAACTTACTCTCTCAATGACTATTGCAGTGTTTCAAGTTGAGTAAACTACAACTTTGCAGAAGTGGAGAGTTTAATTCTGTGTTCGATTTGTGTGTGTGTGTGTGTGTGTGTGTGTGTGTTAGTTCTCTGCAATTTTATCGCGTGCATAGATTCATATATCTATCATCACAATCACGCAATGCATTTTTAAAGTACAGAGTAATTTCATTTCTTTAAAAAAGTAAGATTCAGATTAGCTTTATAATGGAAGATAAAAATATTTTGGGGTTCTTCAAATGACAAGGGTGTGAAAGAGCGATCTCTCATATTCAGAAGATTTATGACAAGAACACGTCAGAAAGAAAGAAATGCAGGTTTTAGAAAAAAGCATGCTTGCCTTTGTGTGGGAAATTAAACCTTACATTCTTTGAGGGAATAATGAGATTATTTTTGGGAAAATGAGATTACCTTTGGAAAGTTAATTTAAAAACGTATGAAGATATAGGGAGAGTGTCAAAACATTTCAGGTTGGACAGATAAACAGATAAATTGGTTGACAGACTGATAGATAAGATGGCTACAGAGACGTGACTAAAATATAGATAATTTTTAAAAACTGATTTGAGATTTACTTTAAGATAGAAAATAATCATACTAACTAGTTTAATAAGCTTTAAGTAAGGAACAAAATTCCCCTGGTTGCAGACACAGAGTATAAGGGGATAGGCTATTTTCATCTTAGCTCAGTGCACATAACTGGCACCCAATAAATACTTAAGTAGTAGAATTATAATCAGAGTAAATAAAAAAATAATTACTTGAAATAGTATATTGAGATAAGCTAGCCTTTCATAGAAAAATTTCTGAGAAAAATGAAAACTAATCTATACAATCCTGATCAAACGCCACCAGTTTGGGTTGAGTCGTAATTAAAAACCATAGAACAAAATGCCGCCACTCAACAAAATGTACCTGCATTTGCTTCCGAGAAGGAAGTGAATTAGAGTGTTAAAAATTAACATTTTGGAAACAAAAGGTGAGTTCTCTGAGGCTGGTACTGTAAGCAACCTATTCCATGAAAGCTATCACAGTTAATAATGATTATTAAGCAATTAATACTTTGAATTAATGTTAGTGGTTTTATTAGGTCTTAAAAATAACAGGATTCTAAATAGAGGTTAAGATTTTATCTTTAACTCACTTAACTGTTTTTCAGGTCATAGAGGAGTTGGGGATTTTTATGAAGCTCTTCTGTAAAATACAATAGACAAGACAAGGCATCCTCCGGGAGGTTCAGCGAGCACAGAAGATCCTCCTAAACTAAGTGGAAGAGGGGCTCCTTGACACCTTTTGCATTCTGGGCTGTCACCCTGGAGAGTGACAGGAAGGCTGGGTGTGGGACACATGGCGCAGGCCCGGGCACTGATCTGCAGGGTATGTGGGAGCAAGTGTGGGCAGCTGGGAAGCCGGGCCCTGGCAGCGAGTGGGTGCTGGCATCCAGCTTTAGTTTTCTCACCACCACTTATACCCCTGCAGATGGCAACATCTTTCTTTGACCAAGTAAGTCAGTTGAGTGGGAACCAGCATAAGAATTGAAAAGGGAGGCTAATATGTAATATTAAGATAGAAAGAAAAAATACATGACTCCGATAGAATGATCCTGGAAGTGTGCCCAGCGACGAAAGGAACACCATCCTGGTGGGCGTTGAGAATCCCAAAGGGGCACAGTCCTGGATACGCCAAGGGTTTGGTGTACATGGTCTAGTAGGTCCTAAACGCTTGATAAAATCTTAAAGGTTAAGTAACTTCCTTTAAGGGAGGAAAATGTTTAAAATATTTTCCAATGTAACTGATGAGTTCCTGGTTACCAATTCATTACTAAGGCATTCATCTTGCTACTTTTTTTTTTGAGAGATTGTTAAAAATTTAATAAAGTTAAGCAGCTCTGCTCCTGCACTCTCCCAGCTTAGACATTGAATCAGAGAATCCAGTAACCAAACTGGAAAACATAAAAAGTCAGTCCACGGTCCTGTTTTACAATGTTTATTTTTAAATCATCTGTTTCTCTGAACTGACTGATCGGCGATGTTTCTCATATTTAGCAGTGGGCTAACAAATACTGACAATGTGAGGCTGTCATCCATCTGTTATGAGAAGGATGGACTATCTCTTACTATGTTACTAGACCGTTTTGAAGGTTTTTTCTGACTTGGCGCACACTGGCCTTTCATTTATGAAATGATGGTCATAGGACATGGCAGTTTTACTAGTTGGTTTTTCCTCCTCTTCTTCCTCCTCCTTCTTCATGTCTTTCATTGGGAAAATATTCAGCAGCCCTTTACCTCTCCAAATTCCGGAAGTAGATTTTTATCCATGTGCAAACACCCCAAAATAAACTAATTTTTTGCCCTTTCCATACCCTTTCCCTTCTTTGCTCCCTCTTTTCCTTTCTCAATGCAAGTTTCATACTATCATTGTAAGAGCTAAAAGTGATTAAATGCTTTGCTAGCTATAGGCTCTGCACTAAGCACTTTTGTGGTATTGTGTTACTTAATCCTCCGAGTAAGCATTACTCCCCCATTATACAAATGAGCAAACTGAATTCCAGAGAGGGCAGGTAACTCGCTCAAGGTCATGTAAGTGGTAGGGCTGGAATTCCAATTCAGGTCTGCCGCCCTGGGAAGCTGAGGTGATCTTCCACACTCACTTCCATTTAATTTGCTTTAATACCAACTAATCGGCCTTCTTCACACATTCCTCTAGATAAACTTCAACACCCCTGGTTACACTCCCATCATGGAAGCATTTTGTCAGCTATCTTCTATCTCACTTTCGGTCTGCCTCCCCCATTTAATATAAAGCACAAGCAGCAGGATGTGATGCATGCCAGCTGGGCGGTTTCCATTATTCCAGTTTAAACTTTAACTTTCAGAGTAATAAGATTTCTTTTGATTGTAAGATTTTTTCTCAGTGGATTATAAAGGATATTCCCCATGTTTTTTCCTCAAGGCAGGCAGGTCTGGAATAAGGGCAGTCAAGACAATCATCATCTTTTTTTTTTTTTTTTCAATCCTCACCCAAGGATATTTTTTCCATTGATTTTGAGAGAGAGTGGGAGGAGAGAGATAGGGAGAAACATTGATGTGCGAGAGACACATCAATTGGTGGCCTCCCGCACTCGTCCTGATGGGGGCCCAGGGATTGAGCCTGCAGCCAAAGGTACAAGCCTTTGATGGGAATCAAACCCGCAACGCTTCAGTCCGCAGACCGACACTCTAACCACTGAACCAAATTGGCTAGTGCAACCATCATCTTTTTAAATACGCACATATGAGCCTTCACTTGAAGATTTTTGATTTCCTAATGGGATGTAAATTATGACATATGCACATTTTTGAAATAATTGTAGAATTTAAGAAATTTCATGATTATCACCACCACCAAAATTATGTGATATAAAAAATGTGAGGGAGTGGGTCAGGCTGGGGCAGTCAGATCCAGGTTGGATCCTGGCTCAGTCATTTGCTAATTATGTGACCTCACTTTCCTGAGCCTTAGTTTCCTCAAGTGGAAAACTAATAATAATTCCTAGTCTCAGTGTTATTATGAATGAAGACAGACTGAGTCAATACGGTTAGTGCCCCATAAAATTCTTGATATTAGTATCATTTTGTTGTTGTGTTGCTGTTACTACCAATTGTGTGGTAACTCATAAAATGGTACATACATTTCAGTTTACTACCACGTTTCCCTGTATACATTAAGAAAAGTTGAGTTACAAAGTCATTAGTTATGATGCCACAAAACTAAAATGAAAGTTAGTATTTATTTAGTTAGAATTATTCATACAACTAAGGAATGCTTGGGATTCCCTGGGTGCTGCTCTAGAATAGCCTTGTAACAACTCACGCAGAGAGCACTGTAAGCATCATGTCAAGTAGAGAAGGCATCAATTATTGGCCTTTTCAGACTAAAACTACAAAAGTAACAACACACAGCAAGCTATGAGTGGAGGGACTTCTTCTTTTTCCCAAAGGAGCCAAGAGTTGAGCTGGTAATTTAATGCAGACACTTGCCATTTTGAATTCTGTTGTTAAGCTGTCTTTACTGCGGCAAAATGGAATATTGCAAAAAAGCACAGATGGTATCAAACTGCTTACATCACAGATGTAGGCGTGTGCCTCCAACCCTCATGAAATATGCTTCGGCCTGGGCTTGCTCAAGTGCACAGGCTGGTTCTACCACATGTGAGTGTGTGTTCACATGGTTCAATTTAAAAAGTTTTTTTAAATAAAAAATATTAAAAGCATATATTACTTATCCATGTACCCATCGAAAACATGATGCTAATCTGTGAGGAACTGGAGAGAATGAAGTTTAATCCTAACATACAAAGGCTTTTATGCATATGTTCTTCTCGTTTGGCTTTTCTCTTCCAACCTTCTTACCTGCAAAGATTTGGCAAGCTTCTGGGTGTACTCCTTCTCAATCTGCTTCAGTCTGCTGTTGGCCTGAAAGACACACGGACGTGAACACACACACAGTGACCTGTGAGCTTGGTATCTTGCACATGCCTATCACCAGCAGCTGGGCTGGCTGCCAGCTGCACCGCCCTCTGGAGCAGCCAGAAAACCACAGGGCTTGTCTTTGATCCAGCGCCAACTATTCATCACTTAAAACGCAAAGAGCAAAAGAAAAAAAAAAGATTTCTCCTGCCAATGATTAGACAAACACAGACTTCTGTGGAGAGACAGAGAAAGGGAGAAGGAGAGACAGAAATAGACACAGAGCAAGTGTGAAGGCTCAGAAGGTAAAGTGGGGAAGGGGAGAAGGACAAAGGAGAAGGAGCAGGAAGAGGAAGGGGGAGGGAGTGGAGCAGGAGGAAATGTAACA